CGAATTTTGGAAGGGCGAGACGGGGCCGAAGATCCCGGTTGAGCCTCTCGAGATTCGTAGGCATGGGAGTTGGAAGAAACCAGTGGGACCTCAATCGTACGCCACCGCAGGAGGTGATGCCCGAAAGTTTGTCCTCAGACTCCAGATAGCCTCTGGCGCAAAGGTCAAGAAACTGAGCCTCCAAGTCAAAGTTGCATCCAAAGAACTTTTGGTGCTGGGCGCAAAGACGATCCTAACAGAAGAAGCACCAAGCATGGTTATGCACTTTGGCCCCCATGCTGATGTCCAAATCTTAGCTGGGGCGGTGCAAAAATTCGACGTGTCACAGTTTTTCGGGGCTTCCGGAGCGTAACCCCGTTTTTCAAAACTGTGCTTTGTATGCGCTCCTCCGTTTTTCCTGCGTTGCTTACTTCGCAGGTTGCTTGGAGTTAATTCACTGCGGGGTATCTGAGGCTGTGAGCGAAATTTGGTTGTGTGTGTGTGTGTGTGTGTGTTTTTTTTTTTCTCCCCTCTCTCTCTTGCTTTGCGTGTTTTTCTTTTTTTGGTGTGTGTGTGGGTGTGCGCGTTCCTTGGTGGTGTGTGTTTGTCTTTGTGTGCGCGCGGGCGTTTGTGCGCTTGCTCTTGCGGGCGTTCTCTTGTGCGCGCGCGCGTGCGCTGTGGTCTCTGTCTGTGTGTGTGTGTGTGTGTGTGTGTGTGTGTGTGTTGTGTTGTGTTGTGTTGTGTTGTGTTGTGTTGTGTTGTGTTGTGTTGTGTTGTGTGGTGTTGTGTTGTGTTGTGTTGTGTTGTGTTGTGTTGGGCTGTGTTGTGTTGTGTTGTGTTGTGTTGTTCTGTGCTGTGCTGTGCTGTGCTGTGCTGTGCTGTGCTGTGCTGTGCTGTGCTGTGTTGTGTTGTGTTGTGTTGCGTTGTGTTGCGTTGCGTTGTGTTGTGTTGTGTTATGTTGTGTGTGTATTTCCTGTTGAGTTGAGTGCGCCTCAATCGAACCTTGGCATGGGGCCACTTTTGTGCCTGCGGCTGCGCTTCTTCAAGTTATTCTCTTATAAGCCAGTGTCGCCCCTGAGTGTCGACCAATGGACGACGAGGACACCCATTTGCTGGCGCAGCTTAGAGTGTTGTGTCGAGAGGAATCAGTCGCTGAGGCACGCGGCGAGCTTGCTCACCTGATTCAAGCTGGACTCCCCCCTAAACCGCCCAAGATTAGTAAACTGCTGCACTTGGCCCTGAGAAGGGATGTCTGGGCGCTGCAAGCGTGCAGGCCTGCATTTGGCATCTCCCAAGTGCCACCAAGTTTGCAACTTTTCAGATCCTTTGATAAAGTGCTAACAGATTGCTTGAAAGACGTTGTGCGCCGCACGGAGCAGAAATCTAGAGGACTTCCGCTCCATAGCTTGGCGGGTCCGTGGGAAGGAGGTCACGAAGCCGCGGCGGTCGAGAACGCCAGGCCCGGTGGCAGCTGCGCCCAAGCCTTTGCAGCTTGGAACGCCCAAGGTGCCTTTGGCCGCTCGGCCAATGAAGCAAGGAACGTTGACAGGATGCTACATTTTGCGGCACAATTGTTGCACGCAGAAGTGACAATCGCAGTGGTGGCTGAACCCAAGCTCGGGGAGCACGCATCTTGGCCTAGGTGCACGGGGTTTAAGTTTTTTGGACTGCACACTCATGATCCGGCATCAGTGGCGGTTCTTGTGCACGAGGCAGTCGCTCACGCCGTTTCAGTTTTGAGTGACTATGGTGATGAGTGCGCTTCCTGGGTTGCAGTAGAGGGCCAGCCAATGGTGCTCCTGCTTGCTGTGTATGGTCCCCACACAGGGCATCCCAACCAGTTCAGACAAGAATTTTGGTATAAACGCCTCAGGGAATACCACAGCATCCGTTGCTTAGAGCGATACAAAGACTGCCCGCTGACGATTCTTGGAGATACCAATTTGCATTTCCCGTTTTTAGGACCCACTAACCAAAGGATGGCCAGGCCTCTTGACAGGCAAATTCTGTCCCTCTTTGAAAGCCCAGCCGCCTTTCACACAACCATTAGGAATCTCCCCTCGGTTGCAACCCATGCGTCTGGATCAGTGATTGATCTGGTCGCCGCTCAAGAAAGCCTGAGCATGGACCTTGAAGTAACCTGGCTGCAAGAGGATGAGCTGCGAAGTGACCACGCCTTCGTGGTGTGCAGATGCCGATCCGCATCTATCCCCCTCTTACAGTCCCAGCATGTAGGGGTTGCCCGGTGGGGTTTGGGCGCCGCGTGGGACGAAGCTACAGATGCTGTCAAGAGCTCCCTCTCCTTTGCTTCTGCCTGGGCAGCCTGCGCCCTGGGTGACACTAGCTTAAGAGATTGGGTAAGCCAAGGTAAGTTTAAGAGGGCGCGTCTAAACCTGCTGGACAGAGTTGTCTGGTGGCGGTCCGTGCTGCTAACTTTAGCAGGACACTTCAAGGGCCTGGTTTGGCTTCAGGGAACTAGGCAACCAAAGGACTTGGCGCAAGAACTTTGGCCTTTTATGGCAGCAGATTTGGAGGAAGAAGGAGGCTCCGAAGCGGCTGAAGATCTGCTCGCCAGACTCAAATCTAGCCTGCACGAAGAGAAGGTTGCTAGATTTACCAAGCTTTCCGCCTCAAATCAGCAGGAAGCGCAGGCGTACCTTTCGCGCCTCCTGAAACCAAAAGAACAGCTGCAGACAAAGTTGTGCGAAAAGGGAACCGGAAGGCCACTCTCAGATTTCGAAACCCTGGCAGCGATTGCCGACGATGTAATCGCCAGAGGACACGCCGGCCATGAAGGGGTTCCTGCCTTCGACGCTTGCATTCAGTCCATGGTAGCACAGGCCAGAACCACCGCACTGGCTTCCTCATTGTCCGCCCCTCCCATTTTTATTTGTTTTCGGGTTTTCATTAAACTCCTCAAGTCGATGCAAACGATGAAGGCGTCAGCCCAACTCCCAAGGAAAGCAGTTGTGGCAGGATCGGAAGCGGGGCGAGCCCTAACTTGGGCCATCATCAACCTAATCTTCTTCATCGGCCTGGTTCCGTCCTCCTGGTTTAGGGTTATTTCACCCATCAGGAAAAGGGGCCCCGAGGTGGTGACCAAGCAAGAGTGCTTGCGCCCGATTTGTTACGTCTCAGACCTTGAAGGGGCCTTCGACATGGTTTGGCTGCACCTGCATAAGCAACTCTTGATTGACTACGCAGGGTCGGAGCAGGTGGGTGGTCAGACCGACCCCGTGCTAGTAAGCATCGGGTTCCTGATCTCCCTACGCTCGCGCCTGAACAGCGGACTCCCCAGTCTGCTAATGAAGGCCGACCTGCTCCAAGGCTATGATCTGGCCTGGAGAGACGCCGTTAGAGTTCACGCCTGGCTGGCTGGAGTTCAGGGTCGGGGGTGGCTCCTTCTAGATGCTTCCTTGTCTTCGGATGTGGCGAGGGTTAGGCTAGGGCCACTTCTTGGGCCTTTCTTTGTGATCCTGAACCATGGTATTCGACAAGGCGGGAGAAGCACAGTGCAACTCTTTGGAGCTTTTGCAAAAGGCCTGACCCAAGCCGTGGCCTCTTCTAACGTAGGTGTGGGTTTAGGACACGACGCCACAGTTACTAGATGCGTCTTGGGCAGCAACCGCGTAGCCAGCGGGCTAAGTGAGCCGCGGTGGGAAATCTTGCGCAGAGGAATCATGGCTTTCAACCCCATGGCCCCGCAGGACACCCTTCGAGCAACCCTAGCCCCTGAGGCTTCAAAAGAGGAAGCCCTTCTACTCTTGGATGCTGCAGCAAAATTTAGTTTTTTACAGATGCAATTCGTTGATGATGCTTTTGTCTTTCAATCGACGCCTTGGGGGTTGTTTAAGGTTTGTGCTGCTTTGTCTAACTTTGCAGTCCTCTGGCATCATAGATTTGCTGCTGGGAAAAAGGCGGCGTCCCTCCTGTGTGTAGGGGAGGACTGGCCCGAGACTTTGACACTGCCAATCTTAGACGGGGAGCAAATCCGTCCTGTCCAACAGTTAGAAGTACTGGGCACCTCCCTGGACAAGAGCCTCTCACTTGAAGCAGGGCTGTCGGCCTTGGGGCAGCGCCTCCACGATGCAGGACATCACTTAGGCAGAGCCCTGGAAGCACAAGGCTTAGGGATAGCCTGGCACGCGGAACAATTCCCCATCAGAGCCGAAAGTGCGGCTCTTTTCGGCTGCGAACTCCTGGCAGCTTGTGTAGAAGGGTGGCCTGTGGTCGCTCGTAGGCTTAACCAGATGCACTATAGAGCCTTGAAAGCCTTGTTAGGTATCGCTAACCTCTCGCTGGGAGACGGGGGCTACAGTCTGATGCTTACGTGGCTTGGTTACCAATGGCGACTCAGTGCCAAAGTGGGCCTCCGCATCGTCACTGCTCTGGCACGCCTGCTGACCTTGCCACCCCACTCGCTTCTGCACGAAGTGGTTAGGGCGGCAGCTGGCGTCACGGGTGAGACATGGGTTGAGTCTGCTCGCGGAGTGGCAAGATCTTTCGGTGTCGAGACGATACCGTCTTGGGAGACGCTTCCAAGCACAGTTTTTGCAAAGGCAGATGTCAAACTGTTCATCCAAAATTGGAAACGTGCCTGTGTTATACCAGCAATCAGTGCAAAAGAGCGCCTTTGGCAACAGGAGGCTCGCAGCAAGTGGCCTAGGAACCCTCCCGCCGAGCTGCGACAAGCCCTGAGCCTCACAAGGGGCACGCTTTGGACGCCCAGACTGGCTAGGGCCTGCAAAGCTTGGTTCCTGGCACTCTTGACCGGTAGGATTTTCCTAGGGGGGTGGCATAGAGGAGACACACGACCGGACTCGGACCAGCGCTGCTGGCTCTGCGAGAGCCGAGTGACAGACCTCTGCGACCACCTGGAGTCGCAATGCGAAGTGGTGGAGAGGGTGACTGCCTCGGCGGGGTTGCAGCGTCCAGGTCTTTTCTCATTGCCCGAGGACGCACCGCGTCTTAGGAGGCGCATTGAAACCTTGGACTGCATCATGACCGCCAAACAGGACTAAAAGACCGACTGGCCACTGCGTTGTGTTCGTGCCATCGTGCAGGCCCTGAGACCCTGCGGGGTAGTGGCACTCACGAGGCACCAATTTGATCCGCCCCAGGATCCCTCAGATTTGAACTTGAACTTGAACTTAACAAAGGGCAATGCGCCTCAATTCTTCAGAAACATAACCTTCTTCAGGACACAAGGTTACTCTAGGTACCCCACGAGCCAGCAACCCGTCTACAGCGCAAGTTAACCCTCTAAAGCCTAGACCTTAGCCCCCTCCTGACCTTAAGGACCAGATGAACCTTAAAAGGGTTTCTGGTTCATGTTACCTTAATAGGGATTATAGTAGTCTAGGGTATATTGCCCCAATTTTAGGGTTCATTTAACCCTAAACCCTAAGGGACTCCCAGAAACAATCTAAGGACAGCACCGGGAGCCGGCGACAGCCAGCACTCGAGCAGCTGCGGCAGGATCTGGCAAGAAAGCTTTCTCAGGTTTAGGGTCTAGGGGTCTAGGGGTTTAGGGGTTTAGGGTTTTAAACCCTTAACCCGTTTAGGGTTTAGGGATTTAAGATTTTCGGGGGGCTGGGGGGGGGGGGTTCTGATGATGGCATTCGATGGCTTTGACACATGATGCGAAGAGAGCTCTGAACTCAGAGAAGATGGAGTGTAAGCTAGGCGAGTAGCCTGCATAGCCATCTATGTCCGTTGCCATCAACTCAAAGGCATCGTGATTTCGGGCGATTCTTCTGGCGGTTCAGGAACTGAAGTAGCCAAAAGCCAAATCCCCAAAATGTGAACCCTGGCCATGCCTACTCCTCACATCTGCATCCCAATGAGACCTATCTGCTCAAAAACCCTAAACCCTAAACCCTAAACCCTAAACCCTAAACTCTAAACCCTAAACCCTAAACCCTAAACCCACCAGAAGGCCCCCCCCCCCCCCCCCAAACAGCCAAGGCACATTCGAATTCCAGGATCGCTCGCGGCCATCCCGCTGGCAAAGCATAGCAGCCTAACAGTCCACAGGAGGTTGAGCTGGGTTTAGGGTTTAGGGTTAGGGTTTAGGGTTTAGGGTTTAGGGTCTAGGGTGTAGGGTTTATAAAAATCCCTCGGACTGCGCAGAAGAATCAGCTTCCCCAAGCCCTACGCCCAAAATTTCGACATCGCAAGGACCGGGTCTGCAGCCACATGCCTGCGGACTCCCTCCCCCGCGATCGCAAGTAGACCATCCGAAGCCAGACCCATCCACACTCTACTAGGACCCGGGAGTAACCCTAGGAATAAAAAGGGTACCCTTTTTGGTTTTAAGGGGATTGTAAGGGAACCCCAACCCCCTAAAAAAAGGAAAAAAACTGCCTACTCCGGGTCCTAGTCTATCGCTCTCCAGGTTCTCCAGGTTGAGGGAGTTGAGGGAGTGGAGGGGTAGGGCAGCGTTTTTTTATCTTCGGGACAACAGGGGATAACCCTACTTAGACTAGAATGGCTCTTGAAACCCTCTGAAAAAATTTCCTTAAACCCTATATATTAGGGAACTATGCAACATCCCCTTGGGCCTACCTAGTAGAGCTAACCATGAACCTCCAGGTATGCCCTTTTAGGTTTTCAGGTCGGGCACGCATGTGCCTTCAGTGCATCGAGGCTCTGCGTCACGGCCGTGTTGGCGGGATTCCTAGGGAGCAACTAGGGTTCCATTTCAGGCCCCTTCTTCGGGTCACCAGGGCTAGGGGCCTGAATAATAATAGGATTTGGGGGGGGGGGGGGGGTTATTGTAGGGATTCTGAAGTACTTTGGGAGAAGTAAAGGGTCATAGGGGGCACTTGAAGTAGGGTTTAGGGTTTAGGGTTTAAAGTTTGATTAGGGTTGAGGGTTTAGGGTTGAGGATTTAGGGCGGGTTTTAAGCGGGATGGCTTACTGCTCAGAATGCTTTGGGCTTCGGGCTGCTGGTCCCAAAACGGCAATGCTTGGTTTTGCATCATACGACTCGCACAGTAGTTGCCTACTCCGTTCCTCAAAGGAAGTCTGCGAAGTCTACAATGCAGGCACCTTCTACTGTATAGGTGGGGATACGAAGCAGAGGCATATACCACCAATCTTCCTTTTCAAGGTACACTCCCAAACACGGACTAGTCCAGCATCACATCAGTCCTACCCTCCCTCCCCCTGCCCTCCCCCACCCGGACAAAGATAATATAGGGGTCGGAAGAATTACTAATAGCATTCCCTTCTGGTCCCTTGTTCATTCGACTTAGGGTTTAACCCCCTCAACCCCTCAACCCCTAAAGCCCTAAAGCCCTAAAGCCCTAAAGCCCTAAACCCCTAAAGCCCTAAAGCCCTAAAGCCCTAAACCCCTCAACCCCTCAACCCCTCAACCCCTCAACCCCTAAACCCTAAACCCTAAACCCCTCAACCCCTAAACCCTAAACCCCCTCAACCCCTCAACCCCTCAACCCCTCAACCCCTCAACCCCTCAACCCCTCAACCCTAAACCCTAAACCCTAAACCCTCAACCCTAAACTCCCACAAAGGCCCAGGTCCCTGGCGAAATCGGCACCGGCGCCGCCAAGTCCACGAAAGCCAGCCTCAAAGCACAAAAGGGGGGGGGGTGGGGGGGGGCAGTTCTCGAATGAATGTTTGGGGTTGAGGGTTTAGGGTTTAGGGTTTCGGGTTTCGGGTTTAGGGTTTGGGGTTTAGGGTTTGGGGTTCAGGGTTTAGGGTTTGGGATTTAGGGTCCGCGGCTCCTTGTGTTAAGGGTGGCGTAATGTATAGGGAACCCAGAGAGGGACCCTAAATTAGGGAACTACCCAAATGGCCTTTGTTTGAGTAGCCGTTGCGCATTTTCGCATTTTCGGTCGGGGATGTTTGGGCGCTTGGCTGCTTATGTGACTTCTTTAAACTAGGTAGTGATGGAGAGGGTTTTGCACTGTCCAATTGTCAGGCGGCGACGAGGAGATGGCCCACATTGTCAGAAACTCTTGCCACGGTTCCCCAACCCACCAAGGAGGGGCCCGGCCCCTAGCTATAAGTAGAGTTGTGAGGATCCTAATTAAATTTGGTTATGAGGATCCTAACTTTGGTTATGAGTCCCTTAACTAGACCCTAAACCCCAAACCTTCTTTTTGGTTGTAGTAAGGGGGCCGCCTCCGTTTTGGTCGGGCTACAAGTATGACAGCTGCGGCTGAAGACCTAGTTCGCGTAGTCAGGAGGCCCCAGGTGAACCCTACTTCCACCCTAAACCCTAAACCCTAAACCCTAAACCCTAAACCCTAAACCCCAAGCCCGAAACCCTAAACCCTAAACCCGAAACCCTAAACCTTAAACCCTAAACCCACACAGACCCTCTCCCTGATGTATAGGAGGCTTGTCCACCTCAGGTCGAGGCATCGAGCGGTGGCCCGCACGACGGTGCATCAGCTGAAGCAAGTAGACGGCATGACCTTAGGGGGCAAGGTTTAGGGTTTAGGGTTTAGGGTTTTGGGTTTAGGGTTTAAGGTTTAGGGTTTAGGGTCTTTGCCTGCCAGGAGGGCCCCCCCCCCCCCCCCCCAGTTAAAAGTAGAGTTTTCAGGAACCTAAGGATCCTAACTTAGGTTTTGAGACCCTCCATGCCTAGTACAGTAGGGGGCTTGCTTGTGGTTTTAGTTTCGGGTTTAGGGTTTAGGGTAACCTTGTACCATATAGGGGCCATAAGGGAATGCTATTCGTATCTATTCCGACCCCGACACTCCATAAGTTACGCTTGGTAGGGCTGAGTCAGGGTTCCTTAGCAACCTCGGAAAAATAAGGTCACTCGTTTGGGCTGATTGAGTTATAGCCCTAAACCCTAGACCCTAAACCCTCTCTTACCTTTGTAATGATTGAGTTATAACCCTAAACCCTAAACCTTCTCTTACCTATGTAACGTAAAACCCTAACGGGATTCGTGGGCATATAGTTCTTTCTGGGCCCTGGACCATAACCTGAAAAATGAGGGGGTCATTTCTGCTATGTAAAGTCTATTTAAAGCTCAGCTGGAATCGGCCACTTTTGAGCGGATCCTGGAGTCCCCCCCACAGGGGCTCCTTTTCAGGGCCTTGGGCCCAGAAAGAAACAACATGCCCACGAAGTGCGTCAGGGTTTAGGGCGGCTAAACCCTAAACCCTAAACCCTTCGTGGGCATATTGTTTTTGTAGGGGCCCTAGGGTTTGGGGGGCCTAAGCCCTGACGCCCTTCGTGGGCATATTCATTTTGTTAGGGGGCATTTTTTTGGGGGGCCGTAGGGTTTGGGGCATAGGCATGGGGTTTAGGGTTTGGGGCATAGGGTTTAGGTAGTCAGTGAACTTTATATGTTCTCAATGTTATGGGTTTCTTGGGTGTGTGGTTTTTTCCAACGCTTGACAAGCTGCTTGACTAGTGACTGCTTCGACTTGAGATGCTGAACCCTAAACCCTAAATCCTAAACCCTAAACCGTAAACCCTAAACCCTAGACCCTAAACCCTAAAACCCTAAACCAACCCTGACAAAGGAATAAGGGCACTTAGCCTGCCTGTTCTTTTGGGCTCAGGGATCCTTTCGGGGTTCAGGGTTCAGGATTCAGGGTGTCGAGGGTTTTAGGATTTAAGGTTTAGGGTGTAAGGTCTAGCGTTTGGGGTTTAGGGTTCAGGGTTTTAGGATTTAAGGTTTAGGGTGCAAGGTCTAGGGTTTAGGGTATAGTGTGGGGAGCTGCCGAAGACTTCGCAAGCATGATCCCCACGCAGAGACGGGGTTTTCGGGTTTTGGGTTTAGGGACCTTTCCCCAACCGCCCCTCCCCTGCCCACCCCACCCCTTCTCAAGATGCAAAGCCCCCAGCGCAAAAAGACGGAAACCCATAACACCAAGATACGCCCGTAAACCCACGAACTCCGTAAAAGCCCCAGACAACCAAAGTCGCGCGCCCGAGGAAAAACTCCGAAACCCCTCAAGTCTTGGCGCTGCACCGCGAGAAGACTCAGCGTTGAGAGCGCAGTTCTGAAAGTGTCGGTTGGCATCTCCTCCAG